TGTGTCTTTTGCTATGGTTTCCTCCTAGTTTTTTCCTTCTTCCTGTGTCTGTTGTTCTGGATTTCCTTTTTCCTGCATGGATCTGCTTTCTGGCAACACCAAAGCTACACCTGAGCTGGTACCATCCATGTATGATTCCTTGGTAGCAAGCAAGGTAAAGGCATTTGCTCTCCTGGATGTAATAGGCAAAAGGGTCCAGGTGTTGGCACATGAAGTCTCTCTTGCTTCAGTTCCTCTGCACCCGTTGTGTGTGGTTTTCCCAGTCTTCCTTGCTGGAATAACGCAGGTAGCTAAATAAGAGCATAGGTGGGTGGAGGCGGTTTAAGCTCCGTCATCTCTCTGCAGTGAGGAAGGACAGCCTTCTCTTCTCCCAGCTGAACGAGCAGCGGGAGCTTGAGACCTGAAGAGGCCGTAGACTATTTTTCCTGGTGTAACTGGTTAAGGGGCTGAGAGTTTCCAGGGGACTGGTGCATATGGCTGAAGTGAACTGGGGTCATGGTATTGTTGCTTTAAGGAGCAAAATAGTTTTGGCAGAAAATAAACCCCTTTGTGTGCTAACACTCCTCACCGAGGTGGGAGGCGAGGTGTGGCTAGGTTTAAATTCTGAGTGATGCCACATTCACCACTATCAGTCGAGACGCGTTTAATACATATTAAACTGTTACGGTTCTGGATACACTGATAGCGGACTGCACCTTCAGCCCAATCGTGCTCATGAACTAACACGGCCACGCTTCGCTCGCATTCAATGAGAAACCCAAACGACGAGCTGCCTACACAGTGGAGTTATTTTAGCTACAGATACACAAGTTCTTTCGGATTACCGGTGATACTGACTGCCTGCAAAGCACATGCAAATACTAAAGATGCTAGCAATATAGCTCGGTTACAAATGTGCTAAGTTGTAAAACCACTCTATATAGAGATTTCTAAGTTTCCCAGGGAAGCATTTGGCATGGCCGACTGTTCGACTCTTACGCACAAGCGTCCTTTTGCGGGGGGGGAGGGGAGAGGCTCAACCCATCGACTGGTCCCAGAAGTCCACGATGGTGTCTTCCCTAACATCCCCCTTTTCTTGGGCTATTTTTATACTATTTTTTATCTTCAAGGTGGAGTTTGAGTGACTCTAGTCATAAATACTTTCATTGTGATTGGTGTAAAATTTTCTTGCCTCGCATTTAAAGGTATAGTTTATGAAAAATTCAGGGCGCAGACTGAAGGAGGAGTGGTCGCACCTTGGAGGCAGGTAGCTTTTGGGATGGAGATGTGTTTTGGTATTATAGTGACACTATAATGAGCAATGTTCACTAAAGGACAGAATTTCATCAAAAAAATGAGAGATCGTTGGCTCAGGGTAACAAGTAGGCAGTTTATCAGTTCCATAAGACCTTCAAGGACTCCATTTGGTCCCCAAGTTCCCAGTTTATCTCAGGGTTTATCCGCGGTGTCTCCACTCCGCTCCATCCTTTGCACTGTTTTTCTTCCGTGGTGCTATCTCATTCCCATGTTTGCTGGATTATCACAGGGTTTGGCCTTGGAGTCTCCACCTCACTCCACTCCCCATGTTTCTTTGCAAGCAATATTGTACAGGGACTCGCAGATGTAGCAGATTCTTCACATACCAGCTGCGGCTGTATTTTACGTTTGATTTTATACCTTTCCTTAATGTGTGACCAATGCTGTATTACTGATCATTTTTAGTAATTATTCCACTGGTATCCTCCTCTCTGCCCATTCATCTTGCATTCCCTTCAGTTCCCTTTCCTTCTCCATACTTTGTTTCCAGCTCTGTGATGTTAAATGCAAGTAAGGAGAAGAAGAAGAAGAAGAAACACTGTGAAGCTCTTAGTGTGAAGGAAATGGTGAAGAATTTTCAGAAGGAGAAGGATACTCAGAAGAATAAAGATGAAGAGCAAAAAGTGGCGACTTGGTCACTAGCAGAACCTGCAGCCCTGAGGGAGGTGGAGACGGTGGCCGACCCCTTGCTCTTGCTCTTTGGCCATGACAGTGATAACGACCTGCTTCAGGCCCTGACGGCCATGAGCTCGTTAACTGACCTGGACCTGGAGCAGATCCTGGGTGAATCCACAGAAGGGAGTCCCTTTCCTGATGTGGAGGATGGGAGTGATGCCATTGAGATGGGCTTGGAGCAGGATTTGAAGCAAACGCCATCCGTCCCTGAAGGCCTGCCAGCCCCTTTGGAGAAACGCATCAAGGAAGTGGCTCAGGTAAGTCACTTTTTTGAGTGCCCACATGTCAGGTAGTGCCAAAGTCCTTAGCCTTGGTATCGCCTGAATGTAACAGTCGGTATCGCACCTGTCAGGAGGGTTTCTCTGCCTCTCTTGGCAAAGTACGGACGGGATGGAAGAGGTAAATTCCAAAGTCAATTTGAGAAGAATGAAGTTAAGATGTGGACTAATGAGGCTGAAGGAGGAGTTCCACCATAATCGTTGTAATGTGCTGTGATGTTCAGGAGAGCATCTGTGAAGTGGCGTGCAGTGTTGTGTGTGTGAAATAAGTGGGTGCATCTGGAAAGCATTATGTGTTGTACAGTGTGAGAAGGTGTGAAAAGCCCTGTAGATGGGGCCTGAGGGTTTGTTAGAAGCGTTTCCCATGTCATACGCAGGCAGATGCCTTCACTGAAGCAGGGGCGCAGTTTGGCATGTCCCTCACTGGAGCTGCATCACTGGCAATTTGGGTTCCTTAACTAATCTCAGAGTTGGGGTACTGTTTAGGGAGTGGAACCTATTCCTTTGTAGAGGGCGATCCCTCGTCTTTTCAGCAGTAGCTCGTCGTGCAGCTGCAGTGCTGTGGGACTGGCCCGTCTTCTGCAGAATGTTGTGAGGCGCTTTGGGGCGCGCTGCTCTGGAGAAGCGGGAGAGCACTGGGTGCTGGTCAGGGATCCCTCTCCTGGCACGTCAGAGACGTGCGCTTTCAGGCTCGCTGTGGGGCTTCTGTGCTGGGAGGGCTGTCGCCATCAGACTGTTGACAAATGCTGACATGTCTTGGTCCTACTACTAGTGTTATTTGTAAACATGGAATTTAAGTGGTAAACCATGTACTTAGATCTCTGTGGTGGTGTGTGTTGTGCCGTCTTTTCGAATGCCGAAGTGAGGCAGCTGAAAGGGGAAGGAGCAGGAGCACTTGGTGTCCCTTTACCTTCATTGATGGGACCGTCTCTCATGGAAAAGCTGGGTGTGCTGTGAGTTGTTGGAGATGGTGTGTGCCAGAACCGTGTTGATGGACGTGTGGGGTTTGGGTTAATGTGTGCAGTGGGGAAGGAGCTGTTCTGCAGTTCTTGGGAGAGGGCCCAAAGTGGCTCTGGGGCTGCAGGTCCAATTCCACGATCAGGAGACGCTTTGATTCTGACTTGTATTTTACTATTTGCAGAAGCGGAAGTTGGAGGATGGAGGTGAAAACCTGAAGAAGAAGAAGAAGGAGGAGGAAATTGATTCTTATGACAAGGAAAAGAAAACCAAGAAGTTCAAATTTCTGATAGCTGGGTAAGGACGGGGAGGTAACACTTGCTGCTCGACACCGTGCTTGAGGGTTACAGGTGGCGTTGGTTACGCTGCAGTAGTAAGGGTTGCAGTGGGGGTGGCTTGAGCACGTGCTGCATAAACCCCAAGAGTTAAAACCCGCGTTGCTTCCAAAGGGGGAGGTAAAAAGTCGACTGAGGAAGAGGGGAGGAGCAGAGCTCCACAGCAAGAGTGTCCGAGCAAAGAGGGCAGAGTGGCTGAAACGTTGGTGTTTTGTGGAGCTGTGTAGCGGCACTGACGGTGGGAAGAGGTATTGGAGAGGCCGAAGAGAAGGCCAAGGACTCTTGGGACAAAGGTGGGGGAGGAGAGGCGGGCAGGAAGGGCATGAACTCGGCACCGTACGAGTATCGGGCTGGCAGGGAGGAAGAGGGTAGAAGGCCATGGGTGGCCTGGCTGGGCACGCGTTTGTACTCCTGCCCAAAGTGATTCTTGGGTGAGCGCTCAGCCTTTTTGATAGCTTCTCTTCTTTTGGGCTGTAAACCTGAGTGGTTCTTCTTCTTGTTCTGGGTCTTCTTGTGCTCTTGGTCTGTCCTTGCTTTGGTGTGCCTGGCTGGTGTGTTTCCAGGTCTGTATCTGTTGGCTGTGTGTCTTTTGCTATGGTTTCCTCCTAGTTTTTTCCTTCTTCCTGTGTCTGTTGTTCTGGATTTCCTTTTTCCTGCATGGATCTGCTTTCTGGCAACACCAAAGCCCACACCTGAGCTAATACTGTTCAAGTATTATTCCTTGCTAGTAAGTGAGGTAAAGGCATATGCTCTCCTGGTTGTAACAGACAAAAAGCCTCCAGGTGCTGCCATGCGAACTCTCTCTTGTTTTAGTTCCTCTGCAGTCATTTGTGTTTTTCCCAATCTTCCTTGCTGGAATAATGGAAGTAGCTAAATAGGAGCATAGCTTTGATTAACCAATTTACACTGCATCATCTCCCTGCAGTGAAGAAGGAATTCTACGTTAACTTGGGTCTCACCTTGAGGCTGACCTGTCCTGGTGTGAATTTTTGCCCAGGTGATGAACACGTGGGCCAAATCTTTCTGCTTCCCCTCAGTTTCACATTGTATAGCTGCGAAGAGCTTTACCTTTGGATCCTTAGAGTAGGTGGCCATGGATGGATTGGCGTTTGCTCTGTGGTGGGCAGCTACACTCTAGATCTTAAAAATGGAAGCTGTTGGTGAAATCAAGTGTGCAGTCGCTTTGAGCAGCAGAGTGGTGTGCAGAACAGCAGTGTTGCATATGCTCAAGTCTCCCTGGTTTCCAGAGATGGGTTTAGTTTCCTCCAATCCAGCAGAATCTGCTTTAGGGCAGTTCTGTTTAACACCGTCCAACTTTCCATTATTGGAAAGCTGTTGTTTCACAGGCAACAGTTATTAAATCTGACATAGGAGTTGTGGGACAAATGCATTCAGAAAGCATAGAGGATTACAGAAAAGGAACTGAAACTCAAAATTTAAAGTTGGGTAAGTGAGCACCTGACAGATAAGTTACTAAAAAAAGAGAGACATAACTGAATGAAAATGCCTTGTGTTGTCTAGGGCCTCTGGTACCAGATGAAGTGTCAGGACTTCCGTCTTATCCTTAACTCTCAGGTATGACCTTAGGATCATAGAATATCTCGAGTTGGAAGGGACCCATGAGGATCATCAAGTCCAACTTCCTGCTCCTCGCAGGACAACCTAAAACTAAACCATGTGACTAAGAGCATCATCCAGATGCTCCTTAACCTCTGACAGCGGTGACCACTACCCTGGGGAGCCTTTTCCAGTGACTGACCACCCTCGTGGTGAAGAACCTTTTCCTAAAGTCCAATCTACGCTTCCGCTACTGCAGCTTCATTCCATTTCCTCGTGTCCTATTGCTGGTCACCAGAGAGAGGAGATCAGCTCCTCCGTCTTCACTGCCCACCTTGACGAAGGTGTAGACTGCAAAGAGGTCACCCCTCAGCGATGAGATCACCCCTTCTCCCAGCTGAACAAGCAGCGGGACCTTAAGAGGCCATATAATATTTTTGCTGGTGTAACTGGTTAAGGGACTAAGAGTTTCCAGGGGACTGGTGCATATGGCTGAAGTGAACTGGAGTGAAGGTATAGCCCTCTCTTCACCTTCACCTTGTATTCACTTCAGTTCCCTTTCTTCCTCTGTACTGTGTTTACAGCTTTACAGTATTAAATGCAAATAAGGAGAAGAATATATAGTCTGGCCCTCTTAGTGTGAAGTAGATACTGAAGAAGTTTCAGGAGGAGGAGGAGAAGGAGAAGGATGCTCAGAAGAAAAAAGATGAAGAGCAGAAAGCGTCAACTCCGTCACCAGCAGAACCTGCAGCCATGAGGGAGTCGGTGGCTGACCCTTCGCTCTTCGGCCACGCCAGTGATAATGACCTGCTTCAGGCAGCGACAGCCATGGACTGCAACCGCCATCCCTCCCCAAAGGCATTCCAGCCCGCTGCACTTCAGCTGCCAGGAAGATCTGCAGAATAAATGGGACTGCTGACATCCTTTTATTCCCTTTCCAGATTCTCTGAAAGTAGATTAAAGGACATAGCTTGGGAGAAAGGGTTTGAGTCTGTTGATTCTAAAATCTAAAGAACCATCGCGTGGTTTGGCTTGTACTTTGTCCCTCTCTGCCTGCCTCCGGCTCCCCAGGTCGCATGAGATTTGCGTTCATGTTGCTTGGAGAACCCCTGGCAGGACCCTGGTCAACACTGTGTTTGTTTTGTTCTTCAGCATCGAGCTGCAGACGCGGGAGCTGAACAGCCAGATCCGGTCAGGGGTGTACGCCCACCTGGCTGCTTTCTTCCCGTGCAGTAAGGACACTCTGGTGAAACGTGCCCGTAAGCTTTATCTCTACGAGCAGGTGAGTGTCATTTACCTAACGTGGTGGTGTCTTCCACTGTGCATGGTTCAGGCACCACATGTGGTGGATGCAGGTTCAGAGCTATATAATATTTTTGCTGGTGTAACTGGTTAAGGGACTAAGAGTTTCCAGGGGACTGGTGCATATGGCTGAAGTGAACTGGAGTGAAGGTATAGCCCTCTCTTCACCTTCACCTTGTATTCACTTCAGTTCCCTTTCTTCCTCTGTACTGTGTTTACAGCTTTACAGTATTAAATGCAAATAAGGAGAAGAATATATAGTCTGGCCCTCTTAGTGTGAAGTAGATACTGAAGAAGTTTCAGGAGGAGGAGGAGAAGGAGAAGGATGCTCAGAAGAAAAAAGATGAAGAGCAGAAAGCGTCAACTCCGTCACCAGCAGAACCTGCAGCCATGAGGGAGTCGGTGGCTGACCCTTCGCTCTTCGGCCACGCCAGTGATAATGACCTGCTTCAGGCAGCGACAGCCATGGACTGCAACCGCCATCCCTCCCCAAAGGCATTCCAGCCCGCTGCACTTCAGCTGCCAGGAAGATCTGCAGAATAAATGGGACTGCTGACATCCTTTTATTCCCTTTCCAGATTCTCTGAAAGTAGATTAAAGGACATAGCTTGGGAGAAAGGGTTTGAGTCTGTTGATTCTAAAATCTAAAGAACCATCGCGTGGTTTGGCTTGTACTTTGTCCCTCTCTGCCTGCCTCTGGCTCCCCAGGTCGCATGAGATTTGCGTTCATGTTGCTTGGAGAACCCCTGGCAGGACCCTGGTCAACACTGTGTTTGTTTTGTTCTTCAGCATCGAGCTGCAGACGCGGGAGCTGAACAGCCAGATCCGGTCAGGGGTGTACGCCCACCTGGCTGCTTTCTTCCCGTGCAGTAAGGACACTCTGGTGAAACGTGCCCGTAAGCTTTATCTCTACGAGCAGGTGAGTGTCATTTACCTAACGTGGTGGTGTCTTCCACTGTGCATGGTTCAGGCACCACATGTGGTGGATGCAGGTTCAGAGCTGGTCTCGACCTTCCAGATTTGGGTTTCTCAGCTGGAACACGCCACGTGAAACTTCAGTCTGTTCTGTGCTGTGCTCTAGGGTGGCTGATTGAAGGAACCTCTGCAGAGGCTAAAGGAAGCCATTGGAAGGGCCATGCCGGAGCAGATGGCCAAGTACAAGGAGGAATGCCAAGCCCACACTCAGGCCAAGTTTGCCAAGTAAGCTCCTTGTTAGCTCGTTTGCTGCAGCTCTTCTCAGCAGGCTCCCAGTGACCTGTAGGTTGCTGCCATGAAGCACAGGCCAACTCTGAGAGAAAGGCTAAGAAACCTCTGTGCAGAGGCCAAAAGAGAGAGAGATATCTTTGGGAAACGAAGGAACTCAGCTGAATTGCTGAAATCCTACAGCCTAGACTCTTAACAGGACCAGATTCTGGTTGTGAAAGCAGTTAGAGGTAGTGGGGACTGCTGCCCCTGGCAGCCAGGGGTCTGGCAAGGAAGAGAGTGCCGGGTGAAGGGGAGAGGAGGGACAAAGGATAAAATGAGAATCAATCACGCCGTCGTCTTCCTCTTATTCTGTATCAAATTGGGGTGTTGCTCTGTAGATGGCCGATTCATTTCGAGCAAAGCAAGTTTCGCTTCCTGCCTTCTCATTGCCTCTCGGCATGAAGGTCTGCAGAGAGGTTCAGTTCTGCGGTTGTTAATGACGCTGGTAATTGCGGCACTGGTTTACTACCTCTGCTGTTGCAGGAGATGAAAAAGGGAAGGGGTAACAAGGTTTATCTCCCCTGGCGCATCCATGTGCGTGCGCACACAGAGCGAGGAACGTGCCTTTCCCTTCCTCTTTCTTGCGGAGGCAGCGCGGGGTCGGTTTTACGAGCGAGGCGTTGTGCGGAGCCAGGCGTGTCCTGGTGTATTTATCCAGCCCCGGATAAAGCGAGTGACCTCCAAGTGGGGGAAGTTAATCCGCGTAACCGTATTTGAAATCTTCCTGTTCTTCAGGGAGCTGCTTTGCCACTTGGTGAAGATTAAGTTGGATGGTTATGACCTTGACAAGAATAAGGCTCAGTCTCTAGAGGATTATGTGAAGACCTTCCTAGATGGAGAGGTGAAGCCCCTTTGGCCAAAAGGCTGGATGCAGGCCAGGTGAGCAAGCATCAAGTGGTACTCCAGGGATTCCTTGTCCTCAGGGACCTCGGAAGGTCGTTAGTCCTCTCCCTGCTCAAAGAAGGGCTAGCTTCTAAGTTAGATCAGACTGCCCAGGGCCTTGTCCTATGGACTGTTGGAAATCTCCAAGGATGGAGATTACCACAGCATCTGTGTGGTAATCTATATGTTAACCAAAATGTGAACTGGTCAATGCTGACAGTTTCAGTTTTGGAGCACTGAACCATCCCTGGTGGGACACAGCAGAATAGTTCAGGCCTCAAACAACTCTCTTATGTGCACAGCTTAGGATTTACCCTCTTAAACGGTGAAAAATAAAGAAAATCCCCAATGGGCCTTCAAAACAAATGTGCATCTGTGCTTTAGCTTGAGGATGGCTCCCCGAGGACCTCTGCCCATCCCTGTCCCCTCTGTGCTTCCCAAACAGATTTCGACTGGGTGTGGGATGACCTGAATAAGTCGACGGCCACCCTGCTGACCTGTGACAACCGCAAGGTGAACTTCCACATGGAGTACAGCTGCGGCACCGCCGCCATCCGGGGGAACAAAGAGCTGGCAGACGGGCAGCACTTCTGGGAGATCAAGATGACCTCCCCGGTCTACGGCACAGACATGGTACGTGGGGCAGAGTCGTTTACGGGCAGGCAGAAAGTTCCAGTGCTCTTTGAACAGGACAGCAACCTTCTCCAGCAGTTCAGCTGGGCGTCCTCACTTTAGGAAAGGAAATTGGAGCTGGGAGCCTTCAACTCCAGCCTGAAATCTCAGACTTGGCTTCACCAAAACCTCTGCAGGTTTTGGACTGTGCCAAGCAAAGTAGGGGAGAGCCAGAGGTGGAGTGTTGCTTGCATTTTGTTGCTCGAAAAGACACTGAGCTTATATTCTTCCTGGCCAGAGCGGGTGTCTGCAGCTTGCAGCTCTTGGAGCAGCTCACCTTACCTACTTTTTGTGGACCCCTTAGAAGCAGTGTGTGAACTCCAGGGTGCCTGGACTGCTGGTTGCACATCTCTGGGAGTTTCAGTGTCGCTACCTGCCCTCTGGTGTTGCAAAGCCTCAATTTTTCCCTTTCCATTGCCCGCTCTGGGGTGGGAGGGCAGGGCTCAGGCAGCAAAGAGATTTGTTTAGGCACTGAGTGAGACTGTACCGGTGGGAACTTGCAGTGCGGGAGCTGGGATGAATTTGTGGAGTGCAGGCTTTCCACTGAATGTCAATTTTTGTGTTTTAAGGACTGCTGCATCACAAGGGAGACAAAACAAACTTCTCTTCGAGGTTTGGCCAAGGCTCCATCATCGGGGTGCATTTGGACACGTGGCACAGGAGGTTCTTCAAAAAGGGCAAGTGCAGAGGTGGTGTGGTTTAACCCCAGCTGGCAGCGAGGGGCTGAAATCTGAAACCAAGCAGCCACTAGAAAGAAAATTAACTCTATCCCAGCTGAAACCAGGACAACAGGTAAGAGCAAGGGCAGCTACAGCAGCCAGCAGGCGAGGGGCTGGGAGGGCGAGCAGCGCAGTTGACTGAACTCGGAGTCCGGCGGCAGCAGGGCTGACGGAGAACACACTGGCAAAGGAGAAGACCAAGGCGTGAAGTGAGTGGGAGGTTACATATGTTGTTTAATAGACATGCTGAAAAGACATGTAGACTTACAGAGGTCCCGGCTCTGTGAAACGGGTAAACTGCAGCCAAATATTTGAGCTTCATCTCCTGACTTGCTATCAAAGCCATCGCCTCTTCCTCAAGGATCCCTCTGCTCTGTAGACTGTCAGCAGAGACAAGATTTAAGGCGGCCTCCTGGTTTCAAAGCGTACTAGACTCTAGTCAAATAACAGACTTGACTCCTCCAAAGACAAAATGAAAGACCAGCCCCCTCCTCCTAACTGCTGTGTGTTGGTTTGGTGTCTGCCACGAACTTGTCACACTGTGGGGCATGATTACACAGCAGCACGTAGGGAATTGGACTCCTGGAGGGGCATCTGCATCGCCACCGTGAAAGAGCAGTTACTCTGCTGAGCCCCTGATGAATTTAATTGTTTTGCATGTTGGCTCCTGCTGTTTCTGAATCAAAGACTGTATTAAACTGTAATGATAAAAGCAGAAACTGTCTTTCATTCCTCTTACAGCCCTTGAAGGCAGGAATCTGGAGGCGCTTGTCAAAAATCACCACGCTGGCACAGCCAGGCTGGAGGGGTGTTTTAAAGCAAGGCTGGTGTGTCAGATCTAGAGGAGGTGAAGGCAGTGGGGATCACCGCGCCTCTGCCCCAGGGGGGGTTCTTGTGGTTCCTGCTGGAACACCGGTGTGGCTGGGATGGATCTGCAGTGGAACCAGACTGACACCACAGCACCACAGGCTCGTGGCAGCCTGGCCCCTGCTGTTCCAGTCCCTGCAGTTTCTGACTGCTTTCTGCAGGGCCCACGGTCAGCCCCTGCCTTCTGCTCCTGCAGCTTTTCCCAGCCTCGGAACTCTCTTCCAGTGAGCGGTGTGTTTGCGGATGGTTTCGGTCTGAGTTGGTTCCATCAGCCAAGTTGAAAAGGTTTTGGAGAGTGGAAGAGGGCTGAAGTTGGATGGGAAATGGCATTTAACCTGTCTTTTCCATGGGTTTCGTCCCAGCACTGTCACTGGGAACACAAAACTCCACTGCTGCCTTTTCACCCGCTCCTATTCCGGACCTGCAAAGGCTCGGGTAAAGCTTTTTGTACCATGTGTGTTTATTTCCCGCTGAGCCCCACAACTCCGTGCCTTTGCTTCCCACATCACCAATCTTGAAGTGAAGACAGAATCATAGAATATCTCATGTTGGAAGGGACCCATAAGGTTCATCAAGTCCACAAGCCAAGTGACCTCAGCTGCTACTCCAAGTCTTGCCCTCAAGGTCTTTTGCCATCTTGGTTGCCCTCCCCTGGAAACACTCTCATAATTTGATGTTTGGTGCCCAAAACTGCACACAGCACTCGAGGTGGGGCCGCACCACTGCAGCGCAGAATGGGACAGTCACCTCCCTCGACCGGCTCGCAATGCTGTGCTTGATGCACCTCAGGACACACTGTTGACTCCTATTCAACTTGCCATCACCCCAAACCCCCAGAGCTCTTTCCACAGAGCTGCTCTCCAGTCTCTCCTCCCCTAGTTTGTATGTATCACCAGATTACCCCGTCCCAGGTGCAGAATCTGGCACTTTCTGTTAAATTACATACAGTTGGTGATTGTCCAGCTCTCTCTGTGAGGCCTCTCTACCCTCGCGACAGTCCACAGCTCCTCCTAGTTTAGTATCGTTGGCAATTTAATGTACCTTCAAGTCCTGCATCCAGATCATTTATAAAAACATCAGAGCACTGGCCCTAAAACTGAGCCCTGGGGAACCCCACTGGTGAGGGGCCGCCAGCCCCACGTCACCCCATTTACTCTTTGAGCCCAACGCGGCGGCCAATTGCTCGCCCAGTGTGCGACGGGCTTGTCTGGCTGTGTGCTGGTGTTGGGGTTTGGGCCGGACTGGCCACCAAGATGGATGACAGACGCTGTCCCCGACCTCTCTCTCCAAGCAGTTTAAAGAGAGACTTACGAGTTTAGGGAAAAAACTAAATTCCTTTAATAGTAATAATAAAAAGGAAGTAATTAAATATATACAATATATACAAAACCGTATGGAGCTCCCAGAATGAGGATCACATCACTGGCTGGCACTGGGAAAGTCCCAGACTGGATGCAGTGACAGATGGGAACTGGATTCCAGATCTGGATTCAGGAACGCATGGATCAGGATCAAAGGCAGACAAACAGATAGAGTCCTCCTCGGACACGGCCACTGAGGAAAGAGCCTGACCCTTTGATCCCTCAGCTTTATACCGAGCACGATGCAGATGGGAGGGAATACCCCGTTGGTCAGTTTTGGGTCACCCGTCCTGTCCGTTCCCTCCTGGAGGTGGGAGCCCGCTATGCTTTCTGCTTCCGACCCTCCAAGGGGGCAAATAACAGAGCGAGCTGCCCTCGGGCGTTGGAGCAATGGGTATAAGCAGGAGCTGCTCTGCACACCGTTCCTTGGCATCAATTAGAAACAATCGGGTCTTGTCACTCTGAGAGTGACCAGTGCACAGTATGCCGTTAGTTAAAAGAGGCTTAGCTAAAAAGTAAAATTACTAAACAAAATTGGTTCTGTTTTACCTCGACCCAGGACAGCTGGACAGTTCATCCAGGAGCACAATGGAAGAGGCAGTATAAAAGCTTTGCTAAAACTCAAACCACCACATCTACTGTCTTCCCTTGGTCAACTCCATGGCTGACCTTGTCACAAAAGGAAATTAAGCTGGTTAAGCAGGACTTTCCCCTCATTAACCCATGCTGGCTGCGGTCAATGACCGCATTATCTCTCAAGGGCCTTTCATTAACTCCCAGAAGAACCTTCTCCATGACTTTACCAGGCGCTGAAACCACACCGACAGGCCTGTAATGACCAGGCTCTTCCTTCTTACCCTGCTCGGGAAGTGGGACATTATTTGCCAGCTTCCAGTCGACGGGGACCTCTCCGGACTCCTCAGAGCACTGAGAACGGATGGAGAGAGGTCCCGCCCCGACACCGCCCAGCTCCCGGTGCCCCGGGACGGATCCCCTGGCGCAGCCGGTCCCCATCGAGCTCAGGGTCGCCTGGGAGTTCATCACCCCCCCGGTCACGGCCTACAGTCCGTAACTTGTATTTAATTCTACCGAATAAATCTCAGCTTGTTTAAACGCTCCTGGGCCCAGGAGGGGCCGGAACA